ATTTTTTATTTTTATTCAAAGATGTATTTTATATTTTTATTTCATTTAATATTTTAGTATTTTACAATTACCAATATGTTAATTTTCTGAGTTATTATTACTGGATTATTTTTATTATTTACTCTAGAAATCTGAAATAGTGTTTCACTTTAGTCTTTGAGACTTAAGTCTTTACTTTTGGGTTTTTAATCTTTACCAATGCACTTTTAAAATTTAAATATTAAGGATAATTAATTTGAATTTTTAACTTTCAAATGCATTTCTATATTGCGCGGTACTATTATAATTGTACTTTTACATTGTTACAAGTGAAGCTCAGCTGTGAACGGCCGCCATTTTGTCGAAGTTTGCATGAACGCCCGTTAAATGTTTAACGAGCCGTTAGCGCGCTAACGAATGATTAAAATTTTAATCATCTGTTAAACAATCTTTAAACGTTCAATAGTTTTATTGGGCCGTTAAAATATAGGTTACCAGCTCATTAAACTAATGGGCCGATTTCGGCTCTTTAAATTTTAATCATTCGATAATCCTACAGTTATCAGCAAGGGGTGGCCATATCATTCTAAAAGTGAAGCGAAAACGGGGTACTTGCAGTGCAACCATCATATGAAAAATAAATTGTTGTAAATATACTAACACATTATTTTATTTCGAATAATAAAAATTAATTTTAAAATACGAAGAACAAATTTTACAAAAAAATATATATACTAGTGGTTCTTATTATAATATACAAATATATAATAATATTATGGTGAAATGTAATATTTTCGTTTTCATTTTTTTGTTTCTGAGTCCGAGCGCACAAAATACAGTTGACCATGATGATTTTAGGCTAGACTCGCGTTACTCACAATTTTACAAAATTTAAAATACAGTTAAAAATTATAATTATAATTATAATTAAAATTATAATTTTTAATGCTAATCAAACATTAATCATTTCTTATCAGTTATCACCATAGACCATAGAGTAATAAAATATAATGTCGATTATCCATTTAATTTCATGGTCGAAAACGCCATCTAGTGTTCACTAGAGTTGTAAGAGGGGTACAATGGCGTTCAATTTTGCTTCGATTTGATAATCATAATATCTGCCTAATGCCGCCTCTATAGTTTTATTACTCTATGGTTATCAGTTATCACGCATACGTATTCAGGTGTCAGTAGTACGTCGTCACTATACCTACCCTGTAGTTGGTCGTACTTACTAAATTTTTTTCTTAATACTTATAAGCTATAACCGAAAATAGTAAAAATGTCGAGTTCTGATTCAAGTTTATCGATTTCCGATGATGAATTGGTTTTGGGTATTTTGTGTCATTTACCTAGACCGAGGTTATTTAGAGATCGATCAAATCCTTTGGAGGAATTTGATGAACAGAACCGAAAACGCCGAAGAAAGATTAAGTACAGACTAGTAGACTACAAATTCACAATTTGTAGAATTTAGCAATTATTGTTATTATACATATTCAAAATTAAAAGTTCAAACAGCTGTTGATACAGTATCTAGATCATAGGATTTTATCACTTTTTCTGTGATAAACTTAAATTTCTACACTAACCTCGGTATCATGTTTAATACCAATATATTTTTATTGTACGATTTGTGCAACCCAAACGCTTCTGTAAAAATATTTAACGGCTCGTTAAAACTGTTCATTAAATAAATTTAAAGTTCGGTTTCATGCAACCCGGCAAAAATGTATTAGGAATAATATTTTTTTTAACGGTCAAATGACTTATATAAAATATATTTTTTTTTTTGTAAACTTAATGTTTAAAAATAATAAAATACGATATAAAATAAATCATAATATCATCTTATTTGTCATATGAAATACCATACAATTGCCAACCGACCTTGAAGCTTCAATTCATGACCGGAGTTCGCTATCTAGTAATATATAGAAATCTGTGGATGGGTCGGGCACCACGACCATAGATTAGAATACCTTGACCACGACTCACTGTCCTGGCGCCGCGGAGGTCTGTATTGAAATCCTTTCTGCCAAATAAGTCGACGGAAAGTGATTGGTAACACTGATGTGCTCGTGCGCCGACAATAAATCGGTCGGACGGGCGGACAGATTGTTCGATGGAAGAGAAGAGCGGGGAATCCCACCCGAAAACGGCAGAAACCAAACTCGCCGTTCCCCCTTCCACATCCCTTTCATTTTCGTTTTGTGTTTGTAAACAACAATATTAATCACTGTTTTCGTTTTTGCGCTATAATATATATTTCTCGCGTCCGTCGTACGGTTTTTGATTTGAACGCGTCCAGCGATGTCGCTCGAGTTTGAAGGTTTCCCGCCCGTGACGGCCGGCCGCCAACGTCGCCACCACCGCAATGCATTTGCCGCCGTTTTCGTGTGAGCGGCCGTTCACCACCGGACGACCGTCAACGGGGGCGCCAGTCGAACCGACCGAATTTGAAACGTAATATTTTCGCGTCTGGTTGTTCAATCCATTTATTACCCACTTGCCCATCGACGAGGTGTCACTCGATGAAAGAACCAACATAGCTAGTCTGTGAGTGCCTTTATGTCGATTTTACGTCTAAAATATTATGATCAGACCTTATCTCTGAGCCAGTACCGATGTATCCGTCTCCAAACGCATCATCGAGTCGACTGTTGGCTCGTTTTCTTCCTACAGTTTAGTCGTAATTTGTGTACTCACTGAAATACGATTCGTATATCTATTGGTACCAAACAAACCAAAAGCCTATGATGTATAATATTATATTGATCAACTCGACATCGTTTTGTTTAAGTCACGATGCTCACCATTTTGTGAAGCAGGTCCATTGGCCATTCTCAGTACCTACCATGCATTCGAACTTAAACTCACTCATGTAAGACTTGGCGACTTTGACTAGACACAAACTCATTGGCTTATAGAACTAATAGTTCTTCGTAGTTCTCTTATAAGACATCACTTATGTAAACCTAATCGTAGTAGGCACCTGTAACATTTGCATTTTTAAGAATTAATCACAGCATAAAATAAAAGAATCTTTATGTCCCGTTACATATTGATTGCTACCTAATTAGGAGGTTAGGTCTTGGAAAAAGGTGCTAATCGGTTGTCATCAGTCATCAGTTGACTTAAATAATGTATATCACCCTTGACACCTTACAAAAATAAGTTTTAGCGGTGCATGTATTGAATGGGTACCACTTTGACTATATAATTTATGAATATCATTAAGCACAGATATAATCTACTCAGTATACCTTAAGAGGATGTCAGCGCACTATTTGTTTTCTCTCTCTGGCCCACGCGCAACAGGCAAAACGCATTTATGCAGAATCGTTTTTTCTATGTTTTTAAGTAATCTTAGAGTAAAATCACTCATTACAAAAAAGATAGAGAATAATATTTTTGAGGGAATGACATATTGATTTGTCTAAATATTGTTTGAAAACAATTTAAACATCATTTAAATTCATAACATATTTTATTTATTTTGAAATTCGAATACAAAGTCAGATATCAATATATTATAAAACCTATATGTCATTCCCTCTAAAATATTATTCTCTATCTTTTTTGTAAAGGGTGATTTTACTTTAAGATTACTTAAAAACATAGAAAAAACTATTCTGCATAAATGTGTTTTGCCTATGTTGCGCGTTGGCCAGAGAGAGAAAACAAATAGTGCGCTGACATCCTCTTGATATTTATTTTTAAATATCAAAATACTTATTTTAAACAAATTTTTACCATTTTATTCTATAATTTATAAAAAACTTTTATTCTTAAAAATATTTTATCTTGACATCAGCTCTTGCATTAGCATACTTACCTAATTATTAAGTATATTATAATATTTTCTTATTAGATGTTTTTGATTGTACATCTATATTTACAAGAATTTCTATGCTCGGCCTTGGCTACTTCTTCTGAATAAGTATCACCTTTGAATGTTGTATTATTTATATTTTTATGAAGTGTATAAATGTGTAATGCATAAGCATAATAATAAATACAATTGGCCTGCATAATATATCCTAATAAATTCATAATAATAGTAGGTATATTAATTTCCTAATACCAAATCAAATTTACTTATATAGATACCTACTTTTATATAATATGATTACATATATATTTAATTTAGTCATAAAATGTAAAACAACGCCTAATTATTGTTAGGTTGGTGCTTGGTTTGTTATAAATAGGGTATGGTTTTAAGTTTTATAAAATTTAATTACTGAGCATAACTTATACAGTTTTATAATATTAAAAATGTGGATGATTCGTTTAACCCAAAGTTTAATGGAAAAAGTCTTGAGAATATTTAAGAGGTTTGGGAATATTTTGTAAATTGTGAGAAAAAAATATTTTTAGTTCACAAACATTTTGTTGTAATTTATCAATAAACTAAAATAATAACTTTTTTTTATGGTTCATTGAATTTCTGTTCTATTCTTATAATTATTATTGGTTTTCCATCTTATATAATTTTACTTAAAAAACTCCAAAAACAAAATTATTGGTTTTCCATCTTATATAATTTTACTTAAAAAACTCCAAAAACAAGTCTTCTAAAAAAAAAAAACATATTTTAGTGTTAACTGATTATTTTAGAATATTTGTCTCACGTTTAAGAGGATTTAAGGAGAATATTTGTATGTGTTTTGAAAATATTAGGATTACCTACCTATGTTTAAATATTATTTTGACCTAAAAATCCAGTTCCTAGTTATAAATTTTTGATTATTAGGTAGGTACATACTGTTAAGAACATTTAAATAAACTAAAGTGTAAGTTTAAGCTATGTGTTAACACAAATAATTAATAGCTGAATGTATACTTGAAACATATTTAGTTTATTGGAAAGTAGAGTTGCTTTTTAAATATTAATTAATTTTGTTTTTCTTTCAGATTGGGTTTTATTGGATTTGTATTTAGGAGCAATCATTGTGTTATTAGAACAATAATTACAAATTTGACAAGTGTTGCTTAACTTGCATCATTTTAAAATGAATAAAAAGTATACACATTTTTTTCTTTGTCAATAACTGGTGTACTAATTGACATGGGTGATAGATTATTTATGGCAATGAGCCGTCGCCGTATATCATGCCCATTGGCTGTTCAACAGCTGTGGGATGCGGTGAAAGTGATACGTTTTCAAAGGCAGGTACCAGATATCGATCGCATCACAAAATATATGACTAAAGTCCACAATATGTCACCAGGTAAAACATTAAAGTTTAATTATAAATACATTTTTCAAAACTAATTATATTGTGTACAACAGAGGAAGTGGGAAGACAATTAAATTATTGTGTTCGAGATGGTCTTTTGATTTTAACCAAAAGAGTTGGTAATAAAGGTTCAAAGGCGGGAGTTGAAACTGAAGGATATAAACTTCCAGAAGAAAAAGTTTGTGACTTATCCTATTTAAATATATTAACATATTTTACTAATATGTAATGTTTTTCTATAGGCTGAAAAAGATAGTCATGATTGGTATTGTTTTCAATGTCACAGTGCTGGAGACGTGATAAGTTGTACATCTTGTTATCGGGTTTTCCATCTTTCATGTATTGAAAAAAAGGACTTGCCAGAAAATGATGTTAAGCATAAGTTCATTTGTAATATATGCAAAGTAAATATTACTATTAGTGTTATAATTATTATTTTTCATTATATTAAATAACTATATTCTTTTAGAATTGTGCTTCTACTAAAGAAGCTTGTAAAAAGATTAAAAAAAGCCAGCTCAACAGGCTTCTTTATCATACTACTGGAAGATTAAGAGAAAAAGTAATTCTCAATATATTTTAAACTAATTATTTGGTATTTGATACTAGTAATATGTATATTTTTATTAATTAGATACCTTTACCATGGTCAGAACGCAAAATTGCTACTACTGCTCCATCAACATATGTTTCAGACAGACTTCAATTTCAGAGTCAACTAAAAGGTAGTGATTTGCATTTTAACATGAAATGTGCATTAAAAGACAAAGATCCTTGGAGAATAGATCTTCTTATTTTCAAGTAAATTGATTTGGTACTCTTTGGCTAAAAAATACATATTAATGTTTTTCTTTAAATCTTAGAATTATAGACCTTCAAATGATTGAAGATAAAGCTGATGATGATGAATATAAAAATGTTGAAGAGTTCCGAGCAGACATATTAACCTTTGTTCACAATATTATTATTTTTCATGGCGGTAAATTATAACAACTTAAACTCTATTCTTTCCTTCTTAAAACTAGACAAATTAAACATATGTAAACATAAAAATATTGTCTGTATAAAAGAATTAATAGACTATAACAAGTTATAATAGTTTTTTTATATGATAAAATGTTTATTTATATTATAGTTCATAGCAGTTTAGCGGATTATGGCCGATTAATGTTGAGGGATTGCAATCGAGATTTGGATGAGATAATGAGGTGCCGTTATTGTTACAAATATTCTATACAAAAAAATTCAAAATTTTGGTTCTGTAAACCATGTAAGCCCCCACATGAACTAGTATATGCAAAACAAGAAGATTTTCCATATTGGCCAGCAAAAGTATTTATAGTTAAATTAAGACTTAATTGTTAATAATATTTTATTTTAAAATAATATTTTAGGTTTTGAAAATTGAAGGTGATATGTATGAAGTAAGATTTTTTGGTAGTGAACACCAACTTGGAACTATTGACAAAACTCAAATACGACCTATATCGGTGAACATTCATACCTTGCAGGTTAATATCTTAAAATGTTAATAATTTATTATAATTTAAAAATATGTTACCTAATTTTTTTTATTGATATATGAAAGAAAAACATTTATTTATCTTTAAAGACTAATGTAGGGTTGTACATTTCAACTTTTCAACTGCATTAAATAAACACTTATTTTTTTAGTCTCAAGGTCGAACTTCTCAATGGAACAAAGCATGTGAGGAATTGCGTCGCCATCAACTTCAATTGGACAAAGTTATATTTGGTCTTGCTGCACAATCATCATCATCTTCCTCTAGTTCGTCTTCAGAAGATGAAGAAGAAGCACTTAAACTTAAATTGAGGGTTTCACCCATTCTAAAACGTTATGAAAGGAGAAAGGTTAAAGAACAGAAAATATCAATAAAAACTGAGGCAAAAGTGGAGACAGATACTGAGGAATCAGAATCAAAAGACGAAGTAAAACCTGTAAAAAGAAAACGAGGCAGACCGTTGTCTCTAGAAAAGAAAATAAGTCCTCCAAAAAAAGTCGTAAAGAAATCTTTGTTAATTAAAAAAACCAGTCCTGAAAACACTGTAGAAAAAAGACCTAGAGGTAGACCCAGAAAAGTTATTGAACCTGTAATTGAAGATAGTACTCCAGTTAAACATTTGAAAACAAAAGTTAAAAGTACAAAAGAAAATACTAATGCATCTGAAGGAATTAAAACATCAAAAAATGCTTCACCATTGAAAACAAAATCTCCAGTTAAAGAAAATGAAGTAGATGAAAATATAACATCTACAACTGAAAGATTAAAAGACCCTGATGTTGTTGAAGATGAAACAGTTAGTTCTTCATGTCAAGATTTAGTACGATCAGTTAAAGTGCAAACAAAACCAATTAGCAAAAAACCGCCTAAAAGCTATATAAACAAGGTTAGTTTTGTAATTAAATATATTTTATATAGTATGTTCTAGAGCGAAATATTTTGTTTTAGATTCGAGCTGAAATGGAAAGTGAAAAACGTAAAGCTATCGAACAACTGATTGAACAACATAAAGAGGAGATTTCTTTATTGCAAGAAAACCACAATATTGCATTGTCCGAAGTAAAGAAAAAGCAATGGGTAATTTTATTTTTATTTTAAAGTTGAGAGAAACATTTTTTAAATCATGACATATTTTGTAGAAATCATAGAACAAATAAAAATAAAAATAATTTTTTATTTGTTTTTTTTAAAAATATGATTATACCTTACAAAAGGTTGACTGTCTATATATTTAACATTTTAAGAGCTATTAAATGTTGGTATTAAAACACAAAGACAGTGGCGGTTCTAGCGTATGGGTAAGGTGGGCAGCTGCCCATACCAAAATTTCTGGTGCCCCTTATTGGGGAAGGGGGGGGGAAATGAGGAATATTATGCGCAGTTAAAACCTAATTATAAATCTACTGTTGCCCATACGAAAATGTAGTCCTAGAACCGCGCTTGTACGAAGACAACTATTATAGTTTATTCTTGACATTTCTGTTTTTATTTCATATTTTTTATATTATATAATATATAATAAATATTAAATATACTTTAATTGATAAATATATAACATGGTAAAATGGATTTTGTAACAGTCAAATTAGTAAATTAAAAAATGTTAGGTATGATACAATCACATAACAAAAGTCATTATTGATTCTCAACATTCAAATATTTCTTTTAGATATACCACTACTTTTAATATATAATGAGATTTCTTTTTTTCAATATCCTGTTTAACCAAGTATACAGTAGTACCCTCAATTACTAATTTATATTTATAAAACTTATATTTTTAGTGTGTGAATTGTGAAAGTGAAGCTATTTACCATTGTTGTTGGAATACAGCATATTGTAGTCCTAAATGTCAACTAATTCATTGGAGTAGTGAACATAAAAGGCATTGTCGTCGAAAAAGATGATCTTAAGCTATTTATGGGAGTATTTTAACTAAAGAAATAATTTTCTTTTAGTTGAAAATCTTCCATGTACATACACACATTATACTTACATTATATTTATATTTAAACATTTTTAAATGTATTACTAGTTCATACCAACTAACTCAATGTTTTACTTAATTTAAGAAAATTTATTTTATGTGTAGGATCTTATATTAAATATTAACAAGAACAATATTACTTAAAAGTAACGTGATTATTCAAAAACATACAAGTATTATTAATCTTACAATTTTTATGTTAATTCATGTATTTTTGCTGATTGACTTTGTACCATTATTATGTATTAATTGATTGACTCATCTACACAGTGTACAGTAAAGAGTTGTCCTAATATTAATCAAATATTTCAAATATAATGTAAATGTATTACAACATCCAAGTAGTTACATTTTCAATTTTTTAGTTTATATTTGGTCCAGTTTTTTTTCTAAACCCTATACCCACAACTGTATGTTTTATTTTTTTTTTTTCAAGCTAATCTGCATTAAATGATTTTTATACAAATTAATATATAGTTACTGCTTATTGGACTTGCGGTTACTTGACTCATTTGCCTATTAGACTCATTCATGCTGGCCTGTATATACTAACCATATTCTGTGTGCTGATCGATAGTGCTCAAATTCTTCTCGCATCCCAATAATAGCACAACTGCAAGAGGTAAAATTTCTCCCACTTAGCTGGGTAACACAACATGGGGGACGTGCAGACTGCAACCTATTTTGGTTGTTGATGACTTTCACTCTCAGAGTATACTAAAACATAGAGACAAATATGATATTCATTGGACTCAACGATACCTGTTGATAGGTCAATTAAATTGAATAAATAACTATATTAATAAGTTAAATGTTTGAATATTTTTATTGATTTGCCTATGATTGTTAATGTACAATTTAGTGAGTATAATGAAATACGTAATAAATAAATAATAATGAATATTTATAAGTAGAATTTTCTATTTTACTTATAAATCTTATTATTATTACATACATTATACATATATCTTAACATAGACCTTGCATATTATTGATTCATTTGGTTAATGAATTCAAATGTTTTGGTCCCAAAGCAAGTCCAATAAGTGGCTTTTACTGTATCTATTGACATCTATTCATCAAATTGTATAATATTTTGGCTGCAGTGTAGCGAAAATTAATTTGTTATAATTGCCATCTTCATTTTATTTGTTTGAAAAAATATATTAACATTTTTAGTGAAGCGAGAAATATATTGGTTTTTTTTATATTGTTTTGTTGTCTTTTGTACATTTTTTTTTTTAAGTTTATGAGTAACTATATTCTAATTTGTTAAACATAGACTTTTTTTTATACGTATTATTTTTTTGTTTTATTATTATAAATTAGGTTTATATTATACTAAAACGGTGCTTTAAAGTTAGTTATTTAATAATTATAAGAGTAAAGGGGTATTTCCATTTGAGCAAGTGTAAATCACTAAATGTTATACACAACATATTTAGATTATTTAAAGAGCTTTGAAAACTAAATAAGTAATTTAAACTATAATAAGTTTATATACGATATATTATACAAATTAATATAGATATATGGCAATTCACTAAGCTTGCTTTTATATAATGAAATAATTAAAACTTAACTTTCCTAAAAATCGTGAATAATCAGAAACATATAAACGTAATTAAATTATATTTTTTACGTATATAGTTATTACTTAGCTATTTCTTTTTTTTGTCATAATATTAATTTAGTTTGTACTAGTGTATTATTATAATACTATATACTTATATAAGTTGTAATTCTAAGCATTTATAAAATTTATGTAAGCAATATTTTAACATATTAGACTGTATATGTTTCAGCCCATTGTCACTAAATAAATGGAAAGAAATAATTCAATATATTTATTATATTAAAAGTAGATAGGTTTTATGCTTAAACTTGAACTTAAAAATAATCATACAATAGTATAACATAATATATATTTTTTTACAATTCAATAATTATACCAAGGTAGATATATATTTGATCTCAATACATTATTTATTTATTTTTTGTTTGTATGTATTTATAATTAATCCATCCTTTAGTGTGTTAATATAATAATCAAGTCTTTTGACTTGTATAATGTATAATGGTTTAAATCATTTAATTATGTACCATACTATCATGATATTTCAGTACACCAGTTATACATTGGTAGAACAGTATTGTCATAATGTTATTGTTATTTAAACCGTAAATTATGGTTGGTGATTGTATTCATTGTATTGTAGATCCCAATTTAATATTGTAAAACAGTTTCATTAGATCTTATAATATTATTTGTATTTTGAATTCAACTGATCGGTGAATGTTGTAGATTTAAGATCAATGTAATCAAATAAGTTTATTTCTAATACTTGAAAATTATTATACTTAACATTAAGCATGTATATTTAATATGAAGGTTTAGCTTACATAATATTGTTATATACACTCATATATATTTTGTATATATAACATTTTATTGTTTATTAAAGTATTTATAAAATTGAATGAGCCCATTTTTTCTACAATAATTCTCCTCCATCATTTCTAAATAATATTTAATGTCTTTTACAATTTCGTCCACTAGAAATTTTCTCTGATACTCATCAAGTGGTTCTGAAACAATAAATTATGTTTTAGATTCTGAGCGGAGCAGTGAATGTATTGATTTTATAATGTATTTTTTAAATTTTTATTTTAGATTGAGTGCAACTATGAATGTATTGATTTTACATGATTATGATCTGTGTTTTTTTTTCTTTTTAATTTTTAAATTTTTGTATCTGTATACACGATAAGTAGTCAAAATAAATAATAATGCTTTGATTTTCCACTTCAGTATCTTGTTTGAGGGGTAAGTGATTATTGTTGGTGCATTGGGGAGGTCAAAATTTGTAATTCCCAGTAATTTTCAAAAGCGCCGTGAAAAACAAAAGAAAAATTATGGAACAAATGAATTTTTTCACAAAATCAAATTTTGGTTTTGGTGTAACTTTAAAACAAATGACCGTTGGTACATGAAATTTTCATTGGTTGTTTATATTTGCATTTTCTATACACAATAAAGTTTTCAAAATATTTTGATTTGTTTTGAACTGTTTAGAGACATTTTCAGTTTCCAATTTTATTAGTTTTTTTTTCTATGAATGTTAATAAATATTATTTGTTGAGTAAAAATACTTGAAAACTTAATGCAAGGCTCCTACTATGTTGTTACAATAACGTTTGAAAAATATTAAAAATCCTTAGTCAGTTTTTTTTTTAAAAGCATTTAAAGTTCAAATCTTGATAAAATACGGAAAAATCACAAAAATTAGCAAATTATTTTGAGTTGAGAATTCATAAAATTTTTTTTTAATCTAAGATTTGCAAATGTAATACAAGATTATTCATAAGTTTGTCTACCTTTATTAAAAAAAAACAGTTTTTGCCTGTTAAAGTAGGTAAAAGTTTCCTATCCTAGTGAATTGTTATTGAATCATCGATTGATATTTTATACTTATTAGTTATTACCTAGAATATTGTATACTAAATACTTTATTATTATTAGATTGTATGTATATGAAGTAAGTTAGATTTCAATATTATAATACTTATTATATTGATATTGATTATAATTTATAGTTAATAAAATAAACGTTTTATATTGGATGTTGAAAAATTTAATATATAATGGTACAAATGGAATAGAAAATAAAATTAACTATATAGGCGATTTAAAATTAGTTATTGGAGTTGAAGTAGGGCATTATGAGGACGTCCACGCTTGAGCCGTCGGAGCTAGTGTAGGCTTGTTGCTGAGATTGAAGTATTTTGCATTGTTTAGTTGATAAAAAAAGTTGATCGTGGGATTTTGTATGTAGGCTTAAATTGTTGGGAGTTTGAAGTCAGTGTGAAGTGCTTCGTTTCTGATGAACCAATTGGCACGTTGGATATTATACGTAATATTTTGGATTGGAAGACTTGGATTTTATTAATGTGGGTTTTGGCGCAGTTTCCAGTTTCCAGCATAGAGTTCCAATGGTCTTAGAATTTGCTCGTGGAGAAGCAGGGAGCAATTCCAACTTAAGGCGGTTGATTAAGGGGTAAAGAATATTAAGCCATTAGTAACCTTGTTGTAGTTTTGAAGAAATGTGCAGGTTCCAAGTTAATTTTTTATCCAAGATAATTTCTAAATATTTTATAGTTGGAGACCAGGATATATTATCATTTTTGAGTCAATATATCTGATAATTTTAGAAAAATGTGTGACACTTCTAATAGAAAATATGTTTAAACTTCTATTTTGAGGATGGTTAAAGTGCCTAGTGGTGATTGTAAAATATTCAATATATAGTTGGAAATCTGGGGACCAAAAGAAAAATTTGTCCAGTAAATTAATAAATAATTGGAAAAAATTAAAAACAATTTGGAAAAAAACCCTTTTTTTTTTTGTTTAACTCAAAATTAATATTCAACTGTAGATACTTGACATTTTCACCGAATATTAATATTAGCTATTACTGGACAAGGACATATTTTTCAAAATATTTAGGCTTTTTGTGTACTATTTATAGGTAATTTACATTTTAGACTTTTTTTATTTTGTTCTAAATTTATATTATGTATAAATAGGGTTATTAATAATTATTTACTATAAAATAATTCATTATAGTCATTACATTTTTTTTTTAAATTATTTCATTTTGTTATGACTTATGAGTTATTTTAAGGTAAATAATTATTGATTAGGTACTCAACATTCCCCCACCCACCAAAATAGGTACCAAATTTTATATCATATAATATACTTATAGGTGCTTCTTATAGGTGGCCCATGATTTATATATGAACAATTTTTTTCTTCAAAATTCGAGGAGTGCTGCCCTGAAATTGTTTCCTATATAAGTATAAAAATAAGACCTACAAAATTTTTGATTTATTTAACATGATTACCTATTAGGGCGC